AACATCAATCCTTCATCTTCCGTCATTATTTTTTGCAACATTTCACCGTTAATCGCAACTTTTTTTCCACTTCCGCTGAAACTTGAATTATTGACATTTCCTTTTTTTAATAAGATCAATACTTCATATTTGCAATCTCAGTTAAAGCTGAATTGGACGAAGGGTCCAGCAAAGGACGGTAAGGCTTGAGTCATTGACATTCCATAGCTCCACGTAGGCTTCAATCTTAGTACTCATTTATACAGCAATTGTTCCTTTTTTGAGTTCGCTTAGATGATTTCATGTTGATCCTATACCACTCCCGATAAGTCTTAAAAAATTAGTCCAATTTAATAGATCCATTTCAATCTTACTCCTTTTTTCAGTCCGCTTGGATCATCTCATGTCCTTAACTTCTTTAATGGAAGTGATAGAAAGCCAATCTACTTTTTAAACAGCTTTCGATCCTTTATTAAGTTCCAGTAAATCTCCATTGCATGGTCAACTCATTTCCATAAAGTTTATATCATTAACATTTTCATAGGTATATTTTTAGTCCCAATCAAGCTTTAGTCTTCTTACAGCTCAAACTTGGTCCTTGTCACGGATTCATTTAGCTCTTTAATGTTAATAATGCTTTAATTCATTGACTGCTCCAGTCCATTTAAATGTAAATCGGTCGTCTTTCCATTGTCAGTATGTAAAAGTTCTATCACTGAATATGTCTTTTAGGTTGAACCTCAATAATCGTTCACTTTTTAGCACTTATGAAGGTTGCTTTATTGGGGCTCTCATAATCCAACATAAGCATTTATCATTAGTCTTCTTCATTGTTCTACATCTCAGAATGAATGAACATCATTGTCCATTAATTTGATCGTTAAGCTTGGCTTCGTAAAATCAAAGTAAGCTTTAAGGTGTATCCATTTAAGTAGGAATAATTGCTTGTCCGATAAACAGTAACACTTTGCCTTTTCAAAGTCCATTTCTTGAATAGGAGTAAAACTGATTATGAATTCTTTCATAATTTAAAATCGTATCTTAACCTCTAACAACATTAGATCAACAAAGAATGGATGAACATTTGATCCATTTGCGACTGTGCTTATAGGGCAAAGACTCCAAGATTCTCCTAGCATCGAAACGAACAATTTTAGCACCAATCCTTAGGCTTTTTGGAACCAATAAGGCTTCAATCCTTGACCTTGTTTCAGTTCTATTTAAGCGAAATCCTCCACTTGTTCAATGTTATTTTAAAGCAGGAAGTTTTCAAATCCAATAATAGTACAGGCTTCTTTTTTTTTTTGTTTTTTATACTTCCAATCCATTTTTTAATCCAAGTTCTGCCAGAATCATCGGGCTTCCTTTGAAACTTTAATTATTAAACTTGCTATAGTTCCATTTAGGCATTAATGATTTTTCTTTTTTTTTTTTTGACTCAAGTACAAGTTCATGCTGGTTTTGTCATGATTCCAATCAATGCCGAATTATGGGTATTGTATCGGTATTAGTTTAAACCTCCAATACTGATTGAGTCTTCAAATAATTTCACTTAGGCTTTGGTTTTTATAGTTAGGCTTCTTTATGGTTCCATTTCCTCAAACTGATAATGCTGATTGAATCGCAAGTCCTCTTGTTTCGGTTTCATTTGACACTGAATCGGTGGCCTTTTTAAAGCTTCGAACGTTCAAAGTTTCAATCGTTGGCTTTCTCAAGCAGATATTTCTTTCAAGCCCCACTAATTTAAACTGTATACTACCAGAATCATAGTTTATCCAATAGTTATATTGGATTTATGGTTCCATTTAAGCATCGTTTGCTTGGACTTTTAGACTCAGTGTCGCATTATTTAACCAACGAAAGTCTTGGATTTTCCCTTTGATAGCATTATAAAATGTTGTAAAATGCTCTGCTTGTCTGATTCCCGACATGGCTTCCCAGTGGCGAGCAAATTAAGATTCAACCCACAAGTCTCTCATTGCCTTAGCATATCCTTAACAAAGAACTTCTCCATGCAATCCGCCATTCAATTGCTTCAATGATTTCCTAAAGTTGCATTTGGGTCTGAATCGATAATCTCTTTTAAGATCAAGCTTTAACTGTAGTTATATTCTTGTCCCGATTAACTGTGTCTTTTTATAGAGTTTTTCGCTTCCGTAATTAATGCCAATCGATTGTCTAAAGTTTATTTTTGCTAGTTTTCTTTTTTGCGTTATTGAAGGCGTTAACATGTTAAAATCTTATATGTCAGATATCTCAAATAATCGCTTTCCTAAGAATCTGAAGCGAATGTATTGCAAAGCAGGACAATGGCAGAGAAAATATTCAATAAATTCTTCCCCTTCACCCTGACAGCTTCTTCGAAGTAAACGGTATCCAAAAATTACAGCAACTAGGTTGCTGAGTAGGGAACTACACAGTTGCAGGAGATATTACATGGGTTTGCTATTCACCATTGTTCTTCATATAAGTTTTCTTGTTGTTCCATCTAATTTTGGGAAAGTTTGTAGACCATTTTATCTAATCGTTGTTGCTGTAATAGTAACTGTAGTTATATTCTTCTCCCAATCATTGGTATTTTAACTGTTAATCTTTTTATAGAGCTTTTCACTTCGTAATTAATGCCAATCGATCGTCTCAAGTTTATTTTTGCTGCTTTTCTTTTTGCGATATTGAAGGCGTTACTATTCTCAATTCTTATACTTCCCTAAGACTCTTGCAAAATAGGACAATGACACAGAAGATATTCAATTGATTCTACTTCCTCTTCATCCTGACAGCCTTTACGACGTGGGATGAAGCAAACGTAATGTTACGGTGTCCAAATTAAGACGTTATAGGGTAAACCACATCTTCGTACGTGGTTTCCAAGTGTACAGTATGCATAGTTCGGAACGATATAGATATTGGAGATATGACGTGTGTTTGCTATCCAAATTTACTATGGGATGAACCAAACGTAATGTTACGGTGTCAAAATTAAGACGTTATAGGGTAAACCACATCTTCGTACGTGGTTTCCAAGTGTACAGTATGCATAGTTCGGAACGACATAGATATTGGAGATATGACGTGTGTTTGCTATCCAAAATTTACCATATCGTTCTGGTAATGATGCAAGTTGACTTCTCTTATTTGGGAAAGTTCGTAGAACATTTTATCTAATAGCTATTTGCATAATTTGAGCGGAATTTCGCAAAAGTAATCTATGTCCATATTGGACATTGAGGCTCATATTTTCGCTTGTTTATCAGCCCCTCAAATTCCCGCGTCTCCATAGTTGTATCAGTACGACTGTTGATTGTCTCCCCATCCTATTTAAGGATGCTCGGCATTTATGAACAAGTGTGGATATAGTGTATAGACCTATCAGAGATTTGATAACAGTTTGACTATCGGTATTAAATATGATTATCATTAATTGATATTCTGTAAATATCAGCTCCTTTTACTGCTGATATTTCAGCCTGCTGTGGACTACATTCATTTTGTATCCTAATGGTTATTGTAATCCCGAATTCAGGGTTAGATATTCACTCTCGTCTTTTGAAACCATCCGTGTAAGCTGAAAGAGAGCTTCTCTGGGAAAATGGTTTGAAAGTTCAATATATTTGTCGGGTAGATACACGTGAAAATGTTGCTTACGACTCTTTCAGGCCTGTTATGATCTCCTTTACCAGTGCCTCAGATGAGAACCAAGTCCGCGACCTCCTCTCTACCAGACTAGAACCCTAGCCTACTGCAGGCCACAAATGTTGATGTAAATATTTTCAAAAACTTAACACATTCAGCAATTTTTGCATTCATTCAATCAATTACCACCAATTGTTCTTTAAAAGAAATTAAAAATCCATACATAACCTTGAAATACATTTTACGCATACAAACTGTCCTAACGTATTATTTGAAAACTACAAAATATACCTCTAGGTCAGTTTATATTACCAATAAGTCTAATAACAATATTGTTAATATTATTTTTAGATACAACTCTCGTATAAATATATTTTCCTAAATTTACGTGTTAAAATCTAAAATTACTTTTTTCAAACACGCAGCATAAAACGAAAAATGTCCCTAAAATATATATTTCGAACCATATTTGGGGCCCTTTTGTTTACGACAAAATTATTACAATAAGAAGACTATAAGGTACTAATAGAAATTCTCGGAGAATAAGTAGTAAATAGAAGAAAAAGAGTAGTTTTATATTGTAAATAAAGGAAATGTATGAAGAGTGTGTATGAGTACTGAGTACAACAGTGTTGTTGTTGCTGTTGTTGCTGTAGTAGTAGTGACTTTTTGGTATACACTCACGTCTAAAGAGTAATGTGCGAGCGTGAGACTGCTTAAAATGCTACTGGTGCGACAAGTACATGACCAAATGCTAAGTCAGGTGCACAAACATACACATACACTTACACACGTACATAAATTTGGGGGGGGGGATATAAAAATAAGAAAAGAATCCTGACAAAAACAACAACGTTGATATTGTTGTTGTTGTTTTACTTATATACTCTTACCACTCAAAAATTGTGTAAGAGAATGTGTTGGTAAGTGTGTATATGTGTGTTTATTAGTGAGTTAAAAAGATATTGCACGTTCGTTGGTCGTTTACTCCTGCTACAGCCTATTGTGAGATTTTTTTTCTATTACTTTGTTGTTGTTGTTTTTGTTGCTGTAACTGTTCGTGTTGTGCATGCCGAGTCAACAATGTCACCCCAAAATATTGTGCGTGAGTGAGTGCGAGTTAACGTTTGTGTGTGTGAGTTTAACTGTTAAGATTATAACGCTTTTTTTTTGCTAATGTATTTGTGTGAAATTTTTGTCATACGTATACGCTGTGTATGTCAGTTAACTACAACAACAATATAGTGCTTTTACAATATGCTTGTTGTTGTTGTTTATATTGTACTGTTGTGTGTGTGTGTGTATATTTTTTGAGACATCTTCAATTCCACTTTGGTTTTTGTTTTGTTTGTGACGTGAACGTGGGCTTCTCGAATTATTCTGCACGTACTCGTTGCCAACAACGGACGTACGCTTGTATTACGCTTAGCATCTTAACAAACCGAAATACAATACAAAAAGAAAAAAACCAACAACAAATATTACAAAAAACATTAACATCAAACGCTCGTCACACAAACTAAGGAAGAAAAAACAAAAAAAAAAAAAAGATTCGTGTTGAATTTTTATTCAGTTTTGCAGTTTGGAGCAGCAACATAATTGCCGCCCCCTGCTCCCTTAACATAGGGGTTTGTGTGAGTGTTAGACGGTGGGTTTTACAACTACATACCCATAAAATACTGTGTAAAGTGTAATTGTGTCTGTTTCGTCATCATCATCGTTATCGTCTTCTTCGTCGTCGTCGTCAACATCAATCGGATGCTGGACTTTAGTTCAATAACGTCTATTACGTGCCAAATGCATTTAAATATTTGTTTCTTTTTTTATTTCTTCATACGTAACGTAACGTGAACGCGTTTAACGTGAGGAGGCTGCTGTTAGCCTGTTCGTGTGTGTGTTTGTGTGTAAAGTGTCTGTCCAGATTAACTGTCTGCATGTTGTTGCTGATGATGATTATTTTGAAAACTGGACGCGTGTGAACTTTTTCGTGCAAAATTTTTTCTTTTTTACTATTTGTGGCTAATTCTAAACGTAACACGTTCGATTGGCAGTGTAATTTGAATTTTGATAAGTTTTAATGTTGGTTTCAGCCACTAACCTTCAAACGTGTGCAACTTTAACAACAAAATAAAACAAAATATACTACAACAAAACAAAAGGATCAGTCAAAAATAATATTTATTTCAAAAAAATTTAGCTTGAGTGTAAACAAGCCTAAAGAGTTATTATCCTCTAAAACAACTACAACAAACAAATAATAAATAAAAATCTAAACAAAACAACAAGTGAAAGTTCCTGTTTGCCCAAAAAAAAAAGTTAAATTAAATGACCCTTAAAAAAATATTTTATTAAATTAAACAAAAGGTCATTTATTATTCACAAAAAAACCTTCAAGAAAATTAGTGAAAATGTTATTTGTTAAATAATTTAAAAAAAAAAAAGAAAAACTTTACAAATTGGAAAATATCTTTTTAAAAAAATATTTTCCTTAATAACGAGCTTTATTTTTTTTTATAAAAAAGAGAAAATAAATAAAATATAATAAAAAACTTAACCATAAAATGTTACCCTATCAAGCTGTTGCCATGGATTATGCTGGCTATCAACGCCAACCCACACCCGGTCATCCTGGCAGTCATATGGCCCCTATGGGCTCTTTGGGTATGACCGGACCGGGTGCCTTTACTCATTCGTGGTTGGTGCCAACACAAGATTTATGCGCTGTGCCTTATAATAAAATGCCAAATCAACATCATCCCTCACAACATCAACCACAACCTATTGAACCAGGGTTAGTTAAAAAGTTTTATTTTTTTTAGATTTAAAGTTTTTTTAAGATTTTAAAGAAATTTTGTTTACATTTTTAATATCGCAAAAAAGTAGTTCTAAAATTCTATTAGAGATTTTGATTCCTTTTGAATATCGTGTTTTAAATCAGAAAGATAATGTAGAACCAAAACCCATTTTGTAAAAAGTTTCCGTTTCAGCTGTTTGAAACCAAAATTTATTACAATTAGCTTTTTAAGGGATAGATATGAAGTTTGTTTCAGAGTTGAGTTAAATCAGATTAAAACTGTAAAGGATTCTATCAATGAAAAGTGGACTCGAGCAGAATTTACCTTCAATTGTCAAAATAAGCGTCGGCATAAAATTTTTTACCCAAAAATGTTCTAAACAATTCTTTAAAGTTTGCTTTTTATTTAGGAAAAGTTTCAGTTTTAATTTTTTTTTTTTAAATTTTGGAAATTTTTCTAAAAAAGAAGTTCTTTCTGCTTAACAAGTCAGTTTTATATAATTTTGTTTGATAACCAGACATGGTTCCTAAAGAACTAGTTCTCGAGCATGTTTTTCGGGAATATTTTTCAGATTTTCTTAAAATTATTTCGATTAGAAAGATATCTAAAAGCTCTATCTGCTTTACAAGTCAGTTATATGTAAGTAAGTTTAATAACTAATCATGGTTCTTAAAGCACCAGTTTCGTAACTAGTTCTCATTAGGCTAGTTACAAGTCTAGCATGTTTTTCAGGAAAATACTTGAGATTTTCTTAAAGTTATTTTGATTTGAAAGTAATGTGAAAGCTCTTTCTGCTTAACAAATTAGTTTCATATAATTTTGTTTCATAACTAGACATGGTTCCTAAAGAAACACTTTCGTAACTAGTTCTCAATAGGCTAGTTACAAGTCTAGCATGTTTTTCAGAGATATACTTGAGACTTTCTTAAAGTTACTTTGATTAGAAAGTAATGTAAAAGCTCTTACAAGCTTAACAAATCAGTGTCATATAATTAAGACATGGTTCCTAAAGAACCAGTTTCGTAACTACTTCTCGTTAGGCTTGTTACAAAACGAGCAAGTTTTTCGAGAAGATATTTCAGATTTTCTTAAAATTATTTTGATTAGAAAGAAATGTAAAAGCTCTTTCTGCTTAACAAGTTAGTTTCATATAATTTTGTTTGATAACTAGACATGGTTCCTAAAGAACCAGTTTCGTAACTAGTTCTCTTTAGGCTAGTTACAAATTGAAATGTAAAAGTTTTTTCTGCTTAACAAGTCAGTTTTATATAATTATGTTTAATAACTAGACACGTCTCCTATAGAACCAGTTTTGTAACTAGTTCTCATTAGGCTAGTTATAAAACAAGCAAGTTTTTCGAGAAGATATTTCAGATCTTGATATTCTTCAATCTTTTAAGGAAATAGTTTTAGATTTGAAATTTTAGAAGTAATCTTTAAACATGAAAAATTTTTGTTTTAAAATTATGAAAAGAAAACTTACCAGTTTTACAAAAACAGTGACCTGAAAATAAAATAAAATAAAATATGAAACTTATTAGAAAAGTCTGTAAACAAAATATAAAAAATATAAAATAATAAATAAAATATTTGAAAAAAATAAAAATGAAATGAAAGGAATCCAGAATTGGAGTGTCAGCTTTCTTTGGGAACAAAGTTGAGACCTGAGTGAATTTCTCAAACTGGTCCACTTAGTCGAAAATTTCTAAAGAACTTTTAAAATTATGTGTAAGAAAACTAAAATATACAATTTTATTTGTATTACAGAATAAGAGTGTTAAAAAGTTTCTAAAATTGGATTAGATATCATGCAGTAGGGTCTCAGCATTATTTGGGTTAATACAGAGACCAAGTGAATTTCATAAACTGGTCCCCTTAATCGAAAATGTTTAAAGAACTTTTAAGTTTTTTTGTAACAAAACTAAAATAAGTAAATCCATTCGTATTTCCGAATAAGATTGTTAGAAAGTTTCTAAAATTAGACTAGATATGATACAGTATAGTCTCAGCATTCTTTGGGTTAATACTGAGACCAAGTGAATTTCATAAACTCGTCCCCTTAGTCGAAAATATCTAAAAAAAACTTTTAAGTGTTTTGTAATAAAATTAGAAAATATAAATCCATTAGTATTTCCGTAGAGCTCTAAAAAGTTTCAAAAATGTGAATAGATCTTTCGGTCTATGCTCAGTATTCTTCGGCGCCATGTTGACAACAAATGAATGTCATAAACTGGTCCCCTTAAACGAAAACGTATAAAGAACTTTTAAGTTTTTTTTTTGTAACAAAACTAAAAGTTATAAATCCGTTTGTATTTCCGAAAAGTATCAAAAGCTTTCTAAAATAAGAATAGATCTTTTGTTCTAGACTCAGAATTCTTCGGTGCAATGTTGACAACAAATGAATTTCATAAACTGGTCCCCTTATTCAAAAATACGCCATAAAATTTTTAAATTTTTGTGACTAAACTAAAAGTATTTTCGATCATATTATAACGATCAGTTGAATTCTTCAAACAGATCGTTATAAATCCCATAATGTCTTTCATTTGAGATCCTATAAGTATTTCTAAAGTGAGAATTGCTATCCCACCGTTGGACTCTGCATTCAAACAGGAAGCTGTTTTAACTGCTCATTATGCCATCTGAGAGACTATATCCCTTAATCGCTCTCAAATGAGATCCTGTAGGAGAAAGTGTCTGTGATAAATTATTTTCTAAAACTTCCGACAATATTTGAAAAAAAGTCGAAACCCTAAGACCAAGTTAGACTAAAGGATTGAGTCGCGCTAAATCCGAACTTAGATTTTCTCCATCAAATCTGGGATTTGATATCTCGAAGAAGATTCTATAAATAAAGTTATCTTGACGCTATTGTAGCGTCTCAAAAAGGGACGAAAGTGGAGTTTTTTTTCCAATTTCACGACAAGAAATCTTAAATTTTAGATGTAATGGAGGTCTCATACGGATTCAGCGCGGCTCAATCCTTTAGAAAAGTATTGTTTGGACTCTGCTTTAAAAATTTGTCGGCCTGTGTGATTAGTTTCATTATGATTGTCTGGCTTAGTTGTCTTTTGGGAGAATCTTCAGTTATGGAATAATATTTCAAGATCTACCTGTGATATTTGTACTTTAAACAAATATTTATTTATAAAACACCCAAAAAAATTAAAACCCTTAAAGGTAACCAAGATTACAACAACAATTTTGATTACAAACTGCTCTTGAATAAGAATATTATAACAATTAAAGACATAAATTAAACATATTTTTCCATACAAAATGATGAAAAGATGTCACTCTAGTACAGATAAATGAGCCAAAACAAATTTTAACTTAAAAGTGCCACACACACATACAACTAGCGTTACTTACAACATATTTAAACTCTCAGATTTTGTATATACAATAGATCTAACAAACAATATAGAAGAAGAAAAAAAAGTAAGACAAATTACAGGCAATTAATTAACAAGACAGATATTTAAACATCTTTAGTTGTAAACATCAAACTATAGTTTACAACTAAAGATGCAAGTGTTGAAAATATCTTTTAGATATTTTTTTCACACATTAATTATCAAATTGTACAAATGAAATTCGTAGATAAAAAGAAAAATTATAACAATAAAAAAAGTATAACAAATTAATAAATGTTTCAATTATTATTAAAAAGAAAGAACTGCTTAAAGTTAAAGTTAATAATAAACAAGTAAGAAAGTATAGTCGGGCGTGGCCGACCATATGATACCCTACACCAGTTATGAATATTAAATGTGATTTATTTTTCATAATAAAGCATTTATCTTCAATATTCCCTTGTTCCGATACATTTAAGCAATTTATGGATGAAAAACTAATTTTCTGAAAGAGGCTTTATATGGGGGCTAGGGGCAAATATGGACCAAGCCCGATAAAATTTTGTGAATATATATTTATATTTACATAATATTTTATTGTCATTGAATTTCATCGCGATATTTGTTTTTATAAGTTAATTTGGGACATTCAAGTAATTTTCTGAAGGGGACTTTGTATGAGAGCTAGGGTCAAATGGGGCCCGATCTTTATGAAATTTGGCAGGGTCATCAAGACTTTTATAAAACTTAGTTGTGCCGTATTTTATCGATATATCTGTATATTTAACATAATTATGAGCTCAGAAGCCCTTTTCGGGGGGTTCTGTTCTATGGGGGCTAGGTGAAATAATGGACCGATTTTAACCATTTTCAATAGGCTTCGTCCTTAGGTCAAATAAAACGTGCGTGCGACCTGTACCTTGCGCACAAGGTTTACATGGACAGCCAGACGGACGGACGGACGGACATAGCTTAATCGACTCAGAAAACGATTCTAAGCCGATTGGTATACTTTAGGTGGGTCTCCCCACTAAAGTGGTGTAGGGTATAAAAAAGATTTATTTTTAACTGAAGTAGAAAAAAAAAAAGAAATAACATTTACATTTAGAAGAAGAAAAAAAGATGTTAAAAATAAGATTTGTTTTTAAAGATGTGAAGTTTAAAGTAAAACGTAAATTAAAACGTTTAAAAATTTCATCATAACTTGAGACACAAACTGCTACTTGAAAAAAAATAAACAACGAAAACATTTTAACAGATTTTATACTTCAGATGAAAACGTAGTTACAAATGGATGAATGGATGGCTACATTATTTTAAATCTAGAAAAATTAAAGTTTATTTTTCTGTATCTGTTGTCGGCTTTTGTTACGTTTCTAAATAAGTTTAAGTTTAACACGAGTATTGTCTTTGCTTTAAACCAGGTTTTCGGTTGGTTTCTGAGTTTGGCTGCAACTTTTGTTTGTTTTTTTTTTTAAACCGAGATGCATATCATTTTGCTACATGTGTTTTTTTTATAAAAACTTCTTAAGAAAAGCCGGTATTTTAATAAAGCTCATAATTTTTTGTCTTTTTTTCTGTTTACTTTAGTTTCTGGTTTTTTTTGGTTAATAATATTTTATGTTTTTTTTATTTTAACT